CTGAAATAAAGCAAAAAGAATTATACTGAGAAATTGGGAGACTATAAGCAAATAAATCCCCAGGCACAGATGGCTTCACTTCCAATCGCTATAAATCAATGCAGGAACAGTTGGGTCCAACACTGCTGAATGCTTTTGACCACTTAAAAGGCCAGGGTGTTATTACACACTTCTATAATCTGAGAACTAGTTTGCATTGAAGTCCCTGTATTTACTGAAGCCTTAGTGTTTAAAAAGCTTTAGGTTTTAAGGCGTTAAATCTATAACAGTGACCATAAAGTTTCCTGATTTAATTTTTAAATTTTTTTTTTTTTATTATTTTTTTGGGATTTTTACCAAATCTTCTCCCCAATTTAGTCATTTCCAATTCCACCCGCTAGTTAGGACTCCCCCAATTACACGATGCTATCATTGCTAGGAGGGTGAAGGCTAACACAGGCTTCCTCCGAGACCTGCGAAACCTGCCACTACACCTTTTCGAACTGCCGCTCACGCAACGTCACTGGACAGCCGAACGCGCTCGGAGGAAAGCGCCAACCGCCAGATCTGTAACGTCAGCTAACGCCTGACTAGCATCGCATTGAGTGATGGGGGGAGAAGGAGGGGCCATCCCACCCACCCAGAGAGAGCGAGGCCAATTGTGCTCTCTCGGACTCCTGGCAACGGACGGCTGTAGCATCACCAGAGATCGAACTTGCGATCTCCCGATGAGGGACAACGCTTAGACGGTTGCGCCACTTGGGAGCCGTGATTTAATAAAAGCTAAGAGAAAATTTTGTGAACGAACTTTAAGTTGGCTTGAAAAATCCGACTAATTATGTTAAAACGTTAAAATGGTGGAAGATTGTCGATGGTTGATAAAGTGTTCCTTAGATGTTGCTAGGTGGTTGCTATGGTATCCAAGGTGGTTGGTAAGGTGTTGCTAGGTGGTTGCTATGATGTCCCAGGTTATTGCTGAGGTGTTGCTGGGTGGTTGCTATGCTGTTAAATACACTGGTACCATAAAACCGACAAAGACAAACACAAGAAAACATCAGGAGAACATTGCTTATTATTTGACATTTGACAGGAAACAGGCTAACATTATAAGCTGAGGTGCTGAAAAGGCATTTGACTCAGTCAGATGGTCTTTCCTGTACAACGTGTTATCAAAATTTGACTTTCATTGAAACTATATGATACACCATCTGCAAGGATAAAAATTAGTGGTGATTGATCAAGTTCATTTAACCCAGAACAAGCAAAGAGACAAGGTTGCTGTGCCTCACCACTCCTCTTCTCCTTATTTATAGAACCCTTGAGCCAATGGATTTGCCAAAACGCTCATATTAAAGGGCTGGATATGTTATTAGGGGAACATAAACTGGACCTGTTTTGATACACCTAACACAGCCTACACAGACACTCCCAAATCTGATAAGCCTTCTAGAAATGTGTAGGATGCTCCTATATAAACTATATATAACTTAATGTACAGAAAACCTAGGTAATCACACTTACTTATGACCCACCCAATCATATTAGAGGAAAATACAAATTAAAATGGGATGCAGAGTCTATTGAGTACCTGGGTATCGGCCTGTCTGAAGATAACGCAAAATTATATGACCTTAAATACTGTCCTTTGAATACAAAGATGAAGTCAGATATGTTAGGATGGAACGTTATTCCTTTCTTGAGTTTGACCTTCACAGTCGATTAAAATAAACATTCTGCCAAGAATGTGTTTTTCAGACTCTGCCTTTAAAGAAACTGACCAAACAGTTTATGCACAGGACAGGCAGGTTTAGGAGGGTTACTTAAAAATGCGTTCTATTATAGATTATTGATTACATGTTAAAAATGTAATTGTAACCTCATCCAAAGGATTACTTTATTAAAGTAACATTACAGTCTGATTATTTGACATTACTTTCGGATTACTTGCCTTTAATTAAAGATGTATAATTAAATAAAGAAAAGGGAAAAATAACTTAAGCAAGACTTTAAAAATCGATAATATTATCGCCGTCAAATTGCACTGTTTTATGAAACAATGATAGATTATAGGTGGCTAAAATATTGTGCCTCACAGAAACAGTCACTGACCTCTCTTTTTGCGAAATGGCCAAATCTAAGTAGAGTAATACCATGCTGTGAAAAAGTATTTGCCCCTTCCTAATTTCTTTACTTTGCATTTTTTGTCACACTTGAATGTTTCAGATCATCAAGCTACGCTTAATATTGGGCAAAATCCCTGCATGATTCCATTTACTAAAGGAAAAATGCTGTTCAGCCCTACCCGGCCCCGTGTGAAAAAGTAAATGCCCCCTTAGCTACTAAATCAACCAGTTAACCAAATTCAATTGACTGTTATATTCAGTTTCACTGCCACACCCAGGCATGATCACTGCCAGACCTGTTGAATCTAAACATCACTTAAATAGAACCTGTCTGACAATGTGAAGCAGCTAGAAGCACATGATGCCACATTCTACAGAGATTCAAATACAGAAGGAGGGTTACAGAGTCATTGCTGAGGCTCTGGGAGTCCAGAGAACCACAGTGAGAGCCATTATCCAAAAATGGAGAAAACTTGGAACAGTGGTGAACCTCCCCATTACAACCTAATTGTAATAAGCCTTTACAAATGTTTATGTAGGTTTATGTGAGTTGTCAAGAAAAGCTTATGTAATAATCATGTAGCCTTATTTATTTGACCTACAGAAAAATCCTGTCTTCATAATGACACTCGGTACTCGGTATTGTAAAGATACAATCTGTAGATCTTTTAAAGCTAAAAATATTTAACATAATAAAGAGGCTAATCCTTTCTCACGTTAGTGAAAGTGTGTTACCGTAATGCATTATTGTGAAGTAATATTTTGATATCTTCCATGTTAATAATTAAAAACCATAGTCAACACCATGTCTTCAAGCAATCAGAATGTTGATGACACTGACAAAACACAGTATGCTAACTGTTACACGACACAATTAACTGGAATGGACTTCTAGCCACTAATATTGAAAGTTAAATATTAAGTAATTTAGATTTTCTGAATAAACAAATGAAAAAAATAATGAATTCTAAAGAAAGCAATCCCTTTGAAATGAAAAAAGTAAGCAATGTGAGTTCTGGCTACATAAGTGACACTTCTCTGGCTTTATCCATTCCACTGTTGCACAATGTTGCTTCTAGGCAACAAGTATATTTAACTAATTTCTCGTATCATAAAAATAATTTATATACTGAATGCAATAACATGAACTTCACACTCCAACAGATGTAAATAATATTTTTGGATGGATGTAAAGTAATATATATATATATATATATATATACACATATATATATATATATATATATATATATATATATATATATATATATATATATAATGGCAAGCCAAACAGGAAATATTTAATGAACATTGATATATATACAATGAACTTTGATATATATGGAATGAACGTTGATATATATACAATGAACTTTGATATATATATATACAATGAACATTGATATATATGGAATGAACTTTGATATATATACAATGAACTTTGATATATATACAATGAACTTTGATATATATGGAATGAACATTGATATATCTTGAATGAAAGTCGCTGTTGAAGGGTTGAGGATGGCCAAGAAAAACTGTACATCAATAAATGGGCATTAACAAACTCCAGGTGGAGCTTAAAGGAAGGGAATTCTGATAAAGTGACCAGTATCTATACACATTGATCCTGTGGACAGAGTGACCTGAGAGTGGCTGATATATGATGTGAAGACACAGATGGGTGGAGTTTCAATATATACATAATTTGACATGGTGCAGAAGAAGAGTCAGATGAGGCCATAACTTCTGTTTGAAAAATGCTCTTTTGTTGAGAGCAAAGGAAAACAGTGCCACTTGAAAAGCAACTGAAAATTGAGGTAGGTCACTCCTAGCCCTACTCTTTCTTCTGAGGGTCACCAAACACAAACACACTCTCCCTAACTCTGAGCTGGACACAAAATAACAGAGTAAACACATACACACACTGTAACTGAAGAACAACAACATAGCAACATTGAATAACAATGTAAACAGTCTGTTTGTGCAAGGCTACAACACACACAACCCCAAAAGTCCCTCTCTGTCTAAACAAAACATTTTATGAATTATATTATTTATTTTGTTCATCTCAATGTTCGATCCATGTACATCAAGGTTCAATATATATACATTTTCATTCAATATATATCAAAGTTCATTCCATATATATCAATGTTCATTCTATATATATCAAAGTTCATTCAATATATATCAATGTTCGTTCCATATATGTCAATCTTTGTTCTACTGAGATATATATGGAATGAATGTTGATATATATTGAATGAACATTTATTGATGTACAGTTTTTCTTGGCCATCCTCAACCCTTCAACAGCGACTTTAATTCAATATAAATCAAAGTTCATTCCATATATATCAAAGTTCATTCCATATATATCAATGTTCATTGTATATATATCAGAGTTCATTCCATATATATCAAAGTTCATTGTATATATATCAAAGTTCATTGTATATATATCAAAGTTCATTCCATATATATCAATGTTCATTCCATATATATCAATGTTCATTCCATATATATCAAAGTTCATTCCATATATATCAATGTTCATTGTATATATATCAAAGTTCATTAAATATTTCCTGTTTGGCTTGCCATAATATATATATATATATATATATATATATATATATATATATATATATTTTCACAAGCTGTACCAAGTCAAATGGAAGCTTAAAAATGCCCAACAGGAGATCAAGTTTAATCATTATTCAGAACCCTTTATTTTTATCCTTTTGACTGCTGCTAAGATGTAATGTAGTTAAGGAAGGAAATTAGGTTTGTTAACCTGAGGCAACATTGTGCAATAGAAATGTATAATTCTATTTCCAAATATTAACAAGACGTGACTTTGAATAAAGTCTGAGATGAATAAAGATATATTACCATGCTGGAACACAAATTCTGACTTCTTGGTGATGTCTTGAAGTTATCAGGATGCTCTGCACTAAACCATCCATATATATGTGTGAATGTGTGCAAGAATGTGGCTAAGCTGACCACAGTTTCCTGAACACCACAGTTTCCTGAACACCACAGTCTTTGAAGAGATATCAAGGCCACATACCACTCAATTGTGTTTTGTAATACATTATTAAAATACAAAAATATACAGTATACTAAAATACAGTGCCCTCCATAAAGTTTGGCACCCCTGGTAAAGATGGACAACACTGGCTGTAAAAACATTCTTTTTACTTATCCTTTTGATCTTTCAAATCTAAAGTTTATTTGAAGTACATTAATTAAAAGAAAAAACTCTTATTATTAAATGAATATTTTTCTCAAATCTATTTGTGCCACAGTTGTTGGCACCCCTAGAAATTCTTATGAGTAAAATCTAACTGAAGCATATTCCCATTCATATTTTATGTTCACCTTATGTTTAAGTTCACCTGAGTCTTTAGGAACACTTAAATGGTCAGCCATGAATTCCTGATTCAATGGGGTGTAAATATAGGTATAAATATAAATATAAACACAGGCCAAATTCCCTCAGTTATCTGTCGCAATGAGAAAGACCAAAGAATACAGCAATGATGTGCTACGAAAGGTTGTTTCGTAAGAACATTAAAACAGCTGGAGATGTTAAGATTCTGCCAGGAAGAGGACGTATGTTTATCCTGTACCCACACACAGTGAGGAGGATGGTTTGAGTGGATAAAGAATTTCCAAGGATCACAGATGGGGAAATGTAGAAATTAGGTCTTAGGGTGAAAACATCTCCCAAATTACAAAGCGACACCACCTATATAACCACAACCTGTTTGGGGGGCTGCCAGAAGAAAGCTTGTAAAGGACCACCAAACTCAAGCTCCTATAGTTTGCCAGATATTACTGGAACTTTCATGGGGCCATGTTCTGTGATCAGATGAAACCACAATAGAGCTTTTTGTCAATAAATACCAGAGATGAGTTTGGTGTGGGCACATGCAGAAAAGTGGACGTGGGCAAAAACAGCCATGCAGAAAGTACCTCATCCCCACTGTGAAGTATGGTGGTGGATCTGTGATGATGTGGGGCTGTTTTTATTCCAAAGGCCCTGGACAGTTCATTCAGATACATGGCATTACAGACTGCATCGAGTACCAGCAGAAATAAAATAAACAGCTGACTGCCTCAGGCAGGAAGCTTAAACTAGGTCATGGTTGGATCGTCCAACAGGACAATGATCCAAAACATGCCTCAAAATAAAAATAAAATGGTTCACTGACCACAGAATAAAATTTTTGCCATGGCCACCCCAGTCCACTGACCTAAAGCCCATAGAAAACCTGTGGGCCAGGCTATAGAGGAGATTCCAGAGTGTTGACCTCAGAATATGAAGGATCTGGAGAGGATCTGTATGGAGGGATGGTCTCGGGTCCTTTACCGTGTGTTCTCCAGTCTCATTAAGCATTAGAGGAGAAGTTAACAATTGGTCCGTGGGAAAAAGAGACCTGTGAAAAGGTGTTAAGTGCTGAAAAAAAACTGAGAAACGTGTGGTTAGATGATGGAGGCTTAGTTAAACCACTAGATGTGGGTCATAAGTGAAAGAAACTCACTCACTCACTTTCACGATAAAGATCAGAATTGTAATGGGTGGATAATGATGGACAAAAAGCTAATTAAATCTTATTAAGGCACCGTCTGAAGAGCACTGAGATTTACTGATGATTTGATACATGGATATTTTAATACATGCAACCTACAAAAAAACTCTCCTACAGATGAAAATGTAAACTTGTATCCAAAACCTACAGTTCAGCTGAAAGGGGCGAGATTGGAAAGGTGACAACAACAGACTGAGGGCATAGTTATAACAATCTCTAAAAAAGTCTGAATACAAATACATTTAATTCACCACAGACTGAGAACAGCTGCAGAATGGCATGTCTCATATGGTCAGACAACAAGCAAAAGTGAAAACCAAGGTAGTTCAAAGCTGTCAGCCCACCAGATCTAGTCGACATGTTAATAAACCATAGAGACCACCATAAAGAGCTCGGAAGAAAGGCCATTATTTCACTGAGTGTGTGGTGTGTGTGTGTGTGTGTGTGTGTGTGTGTGTGTGTTGGGGGTGGTCGGGTGGCAATTGCACTAGTCTTTGGGCCACACATGTAGATACTGACAAAGTTGTACGCCCATGACAGGATAATGATTCTAAAAATACCTCAAAATTCACCATGAACTATAAGACTATGTCAGTAGAAAATGACTCATGACTTGTGACTTCAATGTCTCTCATTTCCCTGATTAACAACATTTTGTTCCAATGTATACAAACCTTTATGGAGAGACTGTAAAGAACGCTTGAAGTTGACATTAGCAACAAATTAAATTAACCATAACCTAAAACCGATTGCCTTAATGTTGATTAGATTTGCTCATTTTGTTTTTACTAAATTAATTTCTTATTCTTAGCCTTAATTTTGTACACTGTTATATACTCAATTGTACATAATAATTGATGATGCATAATTTATAAGATTTTATTTATGAATTTAAAAGATATACACTTTCCATTCATTTTGTTTGCATGAGGGCAGCCTGAAGGTCATCTAATGGAACATCACTTTCACCGCAGACTGATGTCTCATATGGTCAGGCGTCAAGCAAAAGTGAAAACCAAGGTAGTTGAAAGTTGTCAGCCCAGCAGATACATGTTAAAGGCAAAGCTACATGTTAAACCATCTTAAAGAGCTTGAGGAAAGGACATTATTTTACTGTGTGTGTGTAGGTGTAGTAGGAGGGTAATTGTACTGGTCATTGGGCCCCTGTTATAGATGCTGACACAGTTGTACAGTCATGGCTGGAAAATGATCCTAAACATACCTCAGAACTCACCATGAACTATAAGACTCTGTTGGTAGACTATGAGTTATGACTTGTACTTGTGACTTGCGACTAAGAGTGCTTCTCTCATTTCCTGCTCACCACCATGGACTGCAGGTAGTGCAGCAGCAGAACTTGCCATTGTACACACTGTTCTGGAGACATTTTCCCTGTATGTGTCAGATAAGGACACGCTGTGCACTCAAAGACAATCACTCTGATTGATGTGAATGAATTTTACTGTTCACTTCAGCTAAAACACGTTTATTTAAAAATATATACATAATCGCTGTTCAGTCTTCCATTTTTATGGATCTCTAAGGTTGTTGTTCTTTCCTGTAGAGTTGTTAGCACTTCTCCATGTTTTTCCAACTCTTGGTGGAGTCTCTGGACTCTAACGTGGTCCTAGAGGGGATACATATCCAGTTTGTGGTTGTATGACCTTAATGAGAACGGTTACCTCATAATGTTTTTTTAACTTGCATTACGTTTTGTTTTGTTTTTTTCACAAATTTGTCACTGTCATTTCAGTCTGGCTTGAAGTCAAGCACTTTCTACAGTTGATGTGTCTGTGGTGGATGCAAGGGTGTTCCAGGTGGGTGCTGTAGTATTGCATGTGGCTGCTGGGGCATTGCAAGGTGGGTATTGGTAGATGGATGATCATGGATGCTGCTTTCTTGACGAGGGTTCACGTGTAACAGAGATTTTTTATTACCTACTATCTTGGTTTAACAAAGCTAACTAGACAACTTGGCTGAATGGTATTTGTGTCACACAGCTGTCTTTAATGCAGGATATAGAAAACTCATGATTATTTTTCCTCATGTTTTGAGTGAATTTTGACATTTACTGTCAAAGGCCAAGCTCTGATAGCCTGATAGTTCTATCGGAACAACAGCAGAACCCTTCTTGGTGCTATATAGAACCCTTTTCAAAAAGGTTCTTTATAGATCCGTGTACAGCACATTCTTTTTCAATCTGGAGAATCCTTTTATGATGGAAAGTAGCCTGTAATTGTGTAAAGGGTTCACGAGAGTTCATGGTTCTATATAGAACCATTTTCTTTACTAAAGAACCTTGAGGGACCATCGTTTGTAGCCCATATTTGCAGTGAGATATTCTGCCATTCTTTACAGAAGATTCTTTTCATCACGTCTTTGCTGTTCTCTTTTTTGTTATTCCCCAGTGGTGTTCTGTTCAGGCCCAGTGAATAACTTGCCCAGGTGATGTTTTTTACCCTTTTCTTCTTTCTAGAGTGTTTTTGGGATCATTGTCATAGCACACTACCTCCATCATGCTTCACAGTTGGCACTGCACAGTCACTCTGATAGTGTTGGCTCGAATAATTAGGCTTAATTGGAAATTACATCACATATACTCACATTTGGTTTACTGAGTTTTAACAACGGAATATGTAAAGAAAATGAAGAAAGATAAACTAATCACATAACTACATAGTACACAAATCATTTTGTTTAATAAATCATAAATATATAAATACACACATTTTATATGAGGTACAAGTAGATTCTCACAGAGCAGAATTCAAATAACAGAGGGACACAGAAATGCAGCTTCACCCCTACAAACTCTTAAACATAATCATACACTGCAGGTTTTTTATATCAGTGACAATTTCATAGTCAAATAACCAAAATGCCTCAACCAGAGCCATTTAACATCACATGGTGTCAAATCGCCAGTTTATTACCTAATTGTACATTCCAACAAGCCATGTGTCATGTGAGTAGAATGGACACCATGAATGACCTTCATGGATTTAGAAGAAGAAGTTTAATCTTTCAGTCTATTATTGTCATTATATTAATTACTTTTTCCCATGTAGTATTTCTACATTTCTAGCAAACCTATAAAACCTATGAAAACTGTAAGACAGGGTAAGGAAACTCTCCTCATTCAGACGTTACTCTAGAAGTCTGTTATGATTGCGTAATCGAAAAGTACTTAAAACCTCTCAGTATGTACTACATTTCCTACTACAAGACGTAGGAATGCACAGTTGGAATCGGCCACGATCGGAATCTATGGATTTTTACTCCAAACCAGCAGTTTATTGTTTGTTATTTTAGTCCATCTGCGTTGCAGTTTTATGAGGTAAAGAGCATGAGTCAGGTCTATGCTGTTATGTGTTTAAAGAAAAAACAGCCATTGGCCAATTTGGCTGTAAATAAATCAGAATCAGCCATAAAATTTATGATTAGCTATAATTTGTTATGATTTATGAATATATATAATTTTTAATTGTACAAATATCCACTAGCAAACAGGTAAAATCTTCATATAAGAGTCAACATCACCAACATAGACAAATGGAAATACGTTCTCAGTGAATTTGTGTTTTATAGTGTGTAAGTGTGTTTTAGTGAGAGAATCAGTGAATGACAGTTTTCCTTTGTTCCAGTCCAGCTGCACTGTGATCCTCTGGACTTTGTGTTTTACTGGGAGGGGAGTGGGTTTTTGTGGTGAAGAACTTACTGAATATACACTGTTATACAACAGCATCCCCCACATTCCTCTCCTGGAGTCTACGTTTCCTTTCCTGTTAGCAGACTCTTCAATCACACCCAGACCCCAGAATTTACTGTCTCCAACTTCAACATCCCAGCAGTGCGTCCCTGAGTTAAAGCCCACCGATCCCAGGACAAAATGCTGATAATCAAATCTCTCTGGACTACCTGGAAGCTGCTGTTTCTCACTACCGAGCCTCACAGTGGTCAGTTCATCAGAGAGGATGAGTTTAGGATGAGCAGTGTTGGGGTCCAGAGTTACAGGAGCTGAAGGAAGACATATGGAACATGCATGAGACATATAAACATACAAGCAACTCAGGAATTGAGTCAGCCAGAAGCCTCAGTTGCCAGTACAAGCACTGCTATAAAATGGTTTGTAGTTGTTGTTGTTGTGATGGACTTTAATGAAGTACCACAGTGCTGGTTAGGAGTGGGACTGTTCAATGTGAGGGAGGAAAATACCCCACACAGGATGCGTTTTACTGTTATCATCATCATCACTTTTATTTATATAGCACTTTAGCCATGCTCAATACTGTTTTACAGTCAAAGAACATGAACACATTTAACAGGAAGACTTTTCTCAGAAACTGTGGGACATGTTAGCAGACAAAAATCTGACTGAAAAACAAGAAAAAAAAAGAGAAGAATGTACAATCAGATAAGAAGAATCTTGTACGGAACATGGAACGTAATAGGTAACCAGTGAAGTCTCAGAAGGATAGGATTGGTCAGTCTTCATCGAACAGGTGAGGATACTAACATCATCATACTGTATATATTGCAATCTATTGAGGGCTCTGACAGGGAGGTCAGATAGGAGAACATTACAGTAGTTTAACCGGGATGACACAAATACATGCATGAGTGTAATCCTTACTTCCACCATATTTAAACTGCCCTCTAGTACTCTGAGGATCCAGATGTGGCTTTGATTCTTGGTGAAGCCACCCTCAGGACCTGGATAGCATAGTCTACTGTCGTGGTCTTGGCAGGACAATGGGGATCTATGACTGTAGGGTGCACATAGGATGGTGACATAACATCAGCTTTTATTCAACTGCCAGCTCTGGATACAAAGTGGTCAAACTCTGGCAATAGAGTGGGAGGATGAGGAGTAGAAGGGACAAGTAGAAAAAACAGCTTTTCCAGCCTTGAACAACTTGTCATCTGGAAAACTCTCTGACTGAGCGCTTCGTAAGGAGAGGATCTCTGTGGCTTGGTAATCGGTTCCTGTAGGCTGTTGATCTTTATCTCAGCTGGTCCTGCATTGTGGCTGTGACAAGGTCATTTCTGGCCTGTATAGGATTTAAAAGGCAGTGGGGAATGGCTGACACCTCAGATACAACCTGTATGCTAATTTTTCTTGTCCTTACTGGTTGGTATAATAGGCACTTGGCCACTTGGATTCTAAATGCAGGAGGAAATGTGGACAATGACGGTATTACTGGAAGAACAATTTGGCCAGTGTTCTGCCCTCTGTTAGGTCGTCTGCAGTGTTCTGACTGGAGTCAACATATCATCAGACTCGACTGATGTGTTAGCTCTTGTACATCCAAAATCCAACTTACAGCAACAGTCAGATCCAGAAGAGCACGTTTGTGGAATTTGACCACAGGAGAAGTTGAGAGACCTTCAACCTGACCTCATTCCAGTTGCTTGGTCAGTTGGGCTAAATAGTACAAGTCTGGGCAATTCTTTTCAACATTTGAGGGCAATCCAGGACTTAGCCATGATGAAGGACAACTGAACATATCTCTCAATGTTCCATATGCAGGTAGGACACAGCTCTGTTTTTGCTCTTTTGAGGTGTTACAGAAGAACTTGGGAGCCTCACATCCCCAAATTTCCCAGGCTTTCAGTAGTTTTTTTGGATGCATAGGGTTCTCCCAATCTGGCTGCTTATCCCACAGCCTCTGAACCAAGGTCTTCCTTCAAGTGAAGAATGGACTGATGTCATATTGGGTTGTATGCCTTGTATGTATGTATGGTGCATGGTAGGGGCTCATAACCAAGAATGTCAGTATCACACAATGTTATTTCAGACCTTGTATTTTTTGTCCTCTGCCAAATAGTACTGGCTCGTTCCATGTAACGAGTGCTATTTAAGTCCACAACATCTGATGCCTTGTATTAGAGACAGAAATGAAGTGTTCTTCAAGCTTAAATATATGAATTCAAAATTCATTATGAATGGATCAGGTAAGTCTTGTGAAGAAGAATGATGGAGGAGATTTTAAGTGAGACTGAACTCCCAAAAAATGTCTACACATCCTGTACACACCCAGGGTCTTGACTTGACCTTCACAATTTAACATTTAGGTGGTTGGAAGAGAGCAGGATAGTTCTCTCAGAGCCATCATCTAGGACTGCAAAAATGTCCAGGCTTTGACCTTTGACAACCCATATAAATATCAGGAGGACTCTTTTGTTTCCTTCAGGTCTGTCAAGGTAGAGCACATCACTTATGTTCACAGGACTGGTACTTGGGGGGAATGCTCATTCACATCGAGAAGGCCTTGGAGCTCCATCTGCTTGCATGGATGACTGGTTTTCCAGAGTGCTTACTTTGATGCAAGGTGAAACCTCCCACATCTCTCTTTTTGACTTGATCCAGTGTGTTATCTGCTCCTTACTGAGTCGTACAGTGCCGGATGTTGTTACAGTATAGGTATACTTATGCTGGCTTTCTTGACAGGTTGCTTCGACTGTAGTGTAGGAGTAGGAGCTGCTTGGCAAGGAGCCACACTGCAACTCTAATTCACTCTTAGGCTCTTACAAAGATCTACCCATGCATGGAGAGCAAAGTGCCTAAACTCTACTGTATCTTCTGGCCATATGACTAGTGAGTCCATGACTGAGGCTATGCAGAGGTGAGGTTAAGCAAACCTCTTTGTTTAGGCAGCCATGTCAGAGTATGGGCTTCAGGAATGAATCCACTGTAAGGAAAGCTTTCTATCCCTTATCTTTACGCTCCATGTGTTTTCAAATGTAGGCTTCTAAAAGTTAAAACCATTCCTGGCTGTAATTTTAAACCAACTGTGCTTCGGTTGTGGGTGCTAAGCAAAATAAACACAACAATGTAAGATGGCGAAAACAGCTAAATATCAGGGTAAAGAGAAGCAACATTTACCAGCTTTTAAAAGACATTCCCAGCGTGAAAATAGACATCTGTTGTTGGTTTCATTGTAGTTGGTTTATTTATAGTAATTGTGACCGAGCAGGGTGGGTCACAGTGTGTAAAAAATGTTTATGCTCCTCGGATGTGGTCTGCATTTCCACCTCCCCATGTTTCATGTTTGGGGCACTAGGCTGTGCATTTCTTGCTACCTGTTGAAGTGCCTGTTCAAAATAAAAAAGCACTTACCTGTATGCACTATGTTATCTGCGCCTTCTTCTGAATGGTACAATATTTTACTTAAAATTAATGTTTTCATGTAAAATTTACAGATGAACTGTTAATGTGGAAGAAGACATTCATCTAAGCATGGAAAATGTTTAAAATTAACAAGTTTTTTTTAAGTAATACTTGAGCTGGAATTTCAATGACTGTCTATATGGTTAAGTGGAAAAGCCTGCATTCCTAAAAATATATGAAAAAATGTAAACAAAGCAGAAAATAAAATCAAGACCACAAAAAACAAACTTACAAGACTCAACAATTGCCTGCATCTTCTCCAAGACTGTGAACTTCAGGTTGGTCAGGTGTTTTGCTACATTGAGCAATTTTCCTGAAAGGCTCTCTGGATCCTGGAGTTTGCGCTGGGCTCTGGAAGAACATTCTGAGAGGACTCAGTTCTACTGAAGCTTTGGGTTTAGATCCATAGAAAAGAGACAGGACACAGGACACACTACTCACCGTTCCACTGTTACCTTGTAGTTCTGGAACACAATGAGGGTGATATTAATGAATGTGTAACTAATTCATGTATTATTTATTTACTTTTACAAAAAAGCATAATGTACACCCAATACAAACACTGACTCACTTGTACGAATGAGACGTCTTCAGCTCCCATCTCCTCTTCTACGGCTCTGATTGTATCTGAAAGTGCTTCTATCTCTCTGCTCATCTTCTCAATCTTCTCCTTCATCATCTGACTCTTCTGCTGCTCTTCCTCCCTCAGAGCTGCTATCCTGGCTGCCTCTTCATCTCGTAGAAACTGGTGGAGCTTCTCAAACTCCTCCTTAATCTGCCTCTCTGTGTCCTGGGACTGAGTCTGGAAATAGAGAGTAACTCAAATGAAGATGACTGTTTGTGGAATGCTGTTCAGAATCATGATCTCTGTAGTTCTTCATTCTTACCTTTATATGTTTGGCAACCTGATCCCAGTTCAGTTTACTTTCTTTAAAGATCATCTGTTTCTCCTTTAGGGACTTCAGTGCAGCACTGACTTTATCCTGAAACCAATAAAATAACAGAATACTTAAATTTCTGTCTGAAAACAGCACTGTCTCCTCTCAAAGTCACCCTCACTGATGATGTGACTTTGGGTCCAGCTGAGCAGAGTGAGCATGCTAACCTTTAATTACAGCTTTGTCATAATATGTTTGTGAACCTGCGGAACTGAACATTGATCCATTTGTATTTGGACATTTCACTGTGTTTTTAACCACTCTCATTTAGTCCTCTCATTTGGACTGTCTTTACCCGGTCTCACTCATTTGGACTGTCTTTACCCGGTCTCACTCATTTGGACTCTGTCTTTACCTGGTCTGCACTCTCATTTGGACTGTCTTTACTCGGTCTCGCTCTCATTTGGACTCTGTCTTTACCCAGTCCCGCTCTCATTTAGACACCCGGTCTCGCTGTCATTTGGACTCTGTCTTTACCTGGTCTCATTCTAATTTGGACTCTGTCTTTACCTGGTCTGACTCTCATTTGGACTCTGTCTTTACCTGGTCTGACTCTCATTTGGACTGTCTTTACCCGGTTTTGCTCTCATTTAGACTGTCTTTACCCAGTCTTACTCTCATTTGGACTGTCTTTACCTGGTTTCGCTCTCATTTAGACACCCGGTCTCGCTCTCATTTGGACTGTCTTTACCCAGTCTGACTCTCATTTGGACTGTCTTTACCCGGTCTCACTCTCATTTAGACTCCCGGTCTCGCTCTCATTTGGACTGTCTTTACCTGGTTTCGCTCTTGTTTTGGACTCTTTCTTGACTTGGCCTCACTCTCACTTGGACTCGGTCTTGTACTTGGTCTCGCTCTCATTTGGACTCTGTCTTGACCTAGCCTCACTCTCACTTGGACTCGGTCTTGTACTGGTCTCGCTCTCAGTTAAACTTGATCTTGACTCAGTTTCGCTCTTATTTGGACTCAGTCTTGACTCTGTCTCACTCCTACTTGGACTCTGTTTTGACCCAGTTGGATTTGGTCTTGTCCTGGACTTGCCCTCATTTGGACTCTGTCTTGACTTTGTCTCAGTCTAATTTGGACTCTGCCTTCACTCAGTATAGCTCTCATTTGACACGATCTTGCTATCATTTGGATTTGGTCTTGTTGTTTCTAGTCGTTTTCATTTAAACCCAGTTATGGCTGGTCTCTGCCTGTCTTGACTTAATCTCTACTAGTCATATTCTTGGGCTTATTTTGGACTTGACAATGGTGGTCTTGACTACAGCCCTTGGGAAAACACAGAAATGTGCATGCAGGTGCCAGGACTGGGATTTGGAACTCATGCTGTATACTGTTATTTTCTATAGGGCTGTAGCACTTCTCTGTGATTTGCAGACTCTAATTGATACTATTAGGTGATTACCAAAGACTTCATGAAATTAATTAGGCAGTGAAAGCAGAGAAAATGGAAAATGAAACACTGTTGCCTTCTATGACTGAATTTTAGTGAACTTTTTTAGCTTACCTTGTAGTCATGAGCCACCTCCTTAAGGGTACGGAACCTGTGGTTGGCATGCATTTTAGAATCCCGACATAGCAAACACACAGGCTGATCATCGTCCAGACAGAAGAGTCTGAGTTCCGTGCTGTGTAGACTGCAGAGTGGTTCAGCCTTTCCTGAAGCTCTCTGACTTTCCGCCTGTAAGAAAGTCTCGCACACATTTTTTAAAGCCAGGTTTAATGTAGGGTCCAGTGAAGACTTTCCCTTGCAAACTGGACATTCGTTGGATCCTTTGGTGTTGCAAAACTTCTGCAGACAGGATTTACACACACTGTGACCACATCGCAGGAGAACAGGATCCCTGAAGAGTTTACAGCAGACAGGACAGGAGAGATCCTTTGCCAATAAAGTTCTGGAAGCCATTTTCTAACTGACCAGCACTTGTTGGTTTGTTTGTGATTATTGTCATTGAAGAATCCCAATTTTCAGTCCTAATTTGGTCAGTTTTCCCCAGAAATGATCTATTTTCAGAAGTTAGAGAGGTAGAGATGTTCCAACCTTGTGTTTGAGCTAAATGTTCCCTTGTCTCAACAGACAGCTATGGGTGCTGGTGGGAAGGATTAGATCAAAGTACTTGTCAGACCTCCTACCTGGAATGTTTGGTATGTGGTCTGGGAGCATTCTGAAATCTACCATTGGTCTGTCAGGTTTGACCCTCATACGCTTGTGCAGCAGACGCTATAGCAAGAAAAGACATGCAGTCTTGTGTTTGTGCATCTTCTGTTTGGGTTACATTCAGGAATATTACATCACCTTCCATTTCACATAGCATCACCACACCTAGAATATTGGGCTTTCTGTTCATCTTCAGGCTATACAATGAAACTGGATCCTTTCAGTAACATCCAGTTAAAGATAAAAAAAAAAAATATAGATGTCCAGTCCTTTCCAAATCTTCTTTTTATGTCTTTGTGAGAGTGTGGTCTTCAAGGAATAACTAAATAATACAATGGTACCTTTAAATAAAAATGTCACACAACATAAAATCCAACACTTAACTTAGGTGCAGTTGATGATATTGCCCACTAGATGGGGTCTGACAGGTTGCACTGTACAGGTTAGTGCATATTCAGTAATGAGTCATGTACATATGCGTAAAAAATCTGCCATGACATCTTTATGACATGGCTATGCCAATGTTATGTAGCAGGGTTCAAGTAAAGTTCCTCATATATTTTATAATATATAAATATTATACAGTATGTTGTAAAGGACAAAAAATCTAATATGCTTAGTATGTGCAACTTCACAGGTTTGAAAAAAGCAGCAATCTAAGAGGCATCAACAATACAAAAGGAGATTTATAATGCACATTTATTTATACAGTACATTGATTTATATTGCTTTTCATTTGAAACATATGTCATTACATTATGTATTGAAAATTTTGATCAAAACATTTTTGGAAAAGAAAATACATGTGGACGATTACTGGTGGATCTTCACCATATAACGCCTGCTAACTACAGAACTACAGAGTGATCATTTCACTCATCCTCAGCTGAACCCTCCTCCTCAGAGCTGCCGCAGTTTGGGAAATTCTTACTGGGCAGCCGGTTCTGAGGGTTCTTTTCAAAATGAACAGGGAGGCATTTATTTTTAATCTTGTCGCAGGCAAGAATAATGTGTTGGGTCACACTGCTAACATCCCAAACATTGCAGTTGTTGTCCCAGCGCACCACAATGAAACTGAAAGCTTTGTTGCTGATGCACAGGTTCTTGCCTTTTGCAAATAATTTGCCTCCTGATGGTGAACAAACATTTTCCACTTGGTTTGCCACACTCTTGTCCAGAAAGCTCTTTATGCCACTTTTATTATTGCAGACTTTAATGTGTTTAATGTATTTCGTCCACAGTTTATGGTCAGTTCCAAATGAGCTAAGCGTGGCCAAATGGTGCTTATTGAACCTCTCGTTCATGTAACTGTTAGATGAAGGCTTGCAGGGTGCGGAGTTGGGTTCGTAGGGGATGAGCTCGGAGTCTGGGTCTGGTGTAGACACCGGTCCATGTTTGGGTTCCAGCTGTAGTTTGGCCGAACACAGGTGGAAGATGAGAATGGTGAGTACTGACCATTTTGGAGACGTCTGGAAATGGAAAGAGAAAGAGTTGCAGATTTTTAGATAAGCTCGCTTGTAATGGTGGAGGCGAGGAGGTGGGATGCAAGTGCGAGTTGAAAACAGATTCCAGAAACTGAGTAGCAGAGGGTGGTAGAACACATAATGACAAAACCAAACAAGACCAAAAGAAAACAAGCGACAAAGTAACATCCACAATGCAAAACAAAGACTGAACAAACACAGGGGTATAAATACACTGATCGGAAACAAGAAACACCTGTGACTAATGAGGGGGCGGAGCTACAGGCAGGTGGAGCAGATAAGGGGGCAGGACCAAGGAGGAGACACAGAACAAAACAAAAACACATGGCAAAAGAAAACAAAAGGCACATGGCTACAACAGAGGGGAAGAAACAGACACACTCTGGAACAGGGAGGAAACTGTGACAGAACCCCCCTCCTAACACGCAGCTCCCGAAGTGTGAATAACTAAGGCCATCCAAAGTGGGAGCTGGGTAGGAGGAGGGACCGGGAAAACACGTAGGAATGTAAACAGGAAACTAGACAGGGGACTGTGCAAGGGACTGGACAAGAGACTACACAAACAGGGACAGAGACCACAGCAGTAACAGAGACTGGGACAAGGACAGGAACAGGAACAGGGACAGACACAAAAAAGGGTACCAAAACACTAACCCCAACAGGCACAGGTACTCCAACAGAAACAGGGATAGAAACAAAACCTGGGGTAAAACACTGAATAGACACAGGGGAAAACACAGACTGCAAGGGCGGCCAAGGTACATGAACAAGAAGGCACTCGGAGTGCAGGAACAGGAGGCACTCGGAGTGCAGGAACAGGAGGCACCCGGAGTGCAGGAACAGGAGGCACCCGGAGTGCAGGAACTCTAGAAGCTGGCACCGAAAGAAGACAGGGAGCAGGAACCTGACACACAGGGGCACACAGATCAGGAGACACAGAGGCCATGGGCAGGTCTGGAGATACAGAGGTTACAGGTAGGTCAGGGAACCCAGAGGCAATGTCCTCGGGTGCAGGCTGGCCTGCACCGATGTTGTCTGCTGCAGGCTAGAGCAAGGTAGCCTTTTTCTCTTTACCAGAGAACAATGCCTGAAGCTGACGAAGCAGATGGGAACCCTCCTGAAGTCTGACCTCGTTCTCCTTAATAAGTTCCTGCAAACTCGCTGCTTCCCTGTTTGGTCTTGCATTCCGTAATGGTGGAGGCGAGGAGGTGGGAAGCAAGCGCGAGTTGCTTTTATTAAAATCAGATTTAGCAGAGTCCAGAAACTAAGTAGTACAGGGTGGTAGAACACACAAGTTCGTAATAACACAAAACCAAACAAGATCAAAGAAAACAAGCAACAGAGTAACAAAAACAACAACAAAAGCACATGGCACGAGAAAAAAAGGCACATGGCTACAACAGAGGGGAAGAAACAGACACACTGTGGAACAGGGAGGAAACTGTGACATCACTCATATTTAGCTGGTTCTTGTTCGTAGATGCTGTGGAGGCAGGCCTGCACAAATACGGCTAAAACAGTTAAAAAGCTACAACATAATGTAGCATAAGGCTGCTGTGAAGCTAACTTGCTTTAACTGTAGAAAAACAGGATTGGATTGGAAAGTGACATCCACTCGATATTTGGGTCTAAACTTCAATATTTAGTCTTCACAAACGAAGCATTTTGTTAATATTGTAATGATACAGATTAGCAGTGTCACCAATGTACATACTTTTTACCAACATGTGTGTTAATGCAACTGTTAAAAAGAATGTCCAGCACTGGTTGTGCTGGTGGCCAGGACCTTTTGGGGTATGTTGCCTTGAGGCAACATGAGGCTAAAATGGATAAAACGATTAACAGTATCATATGGAAAACTTGTTTGATCTTTAAATACTACAAATATTTAATAAAAAACAAATATTAATTCTACTACATGTTATTTTGACTGAAAGCATGTAATGATGCAATATTATTAGGTAATGTTTTAATATCTTGCATGTTGAAAATAATACCACAATTAATAGATAACTGTCTTCAAGTAATCATAACTGGTTTTCATTTTCTAAACAAAACTGTTCAAAAACTCAGTATCTTAACTGCTACATGACACAATTGATTGGAATCGGCTCCTAGCCCCTAATATTGCAGGTTAAACACTAAATAATTTGGAATTCCCTAATAAATGAAAGCACAGTTCTAAAGGAATACATCATTCTTAAATGAAAAACTAAACAATGTGCAGAGTTCTTTACATAAGTGACACCTCACTTGCATAAGGCTGTATTCATTCCACTGTTGCACAGTGTTGCTTCTAGGCAACAAATGTATTTAACCAGTTTCTCATCACATTCAACATAAAGGCAACAGAACAGGCAACACTGCAATAGAATAGTGTGTATACAGTCTGAGATAAAGATATATTACCATGCTGAAATGTCTGAGATGTCCAGAAGTTATAGGGCTGCTCTGCGCTACACCAACCTATGTATGCAGACGTACGTGCAAGAGCTCTCTACTAAGATGGTTAAGCTAACCACAGTGTCAAGTAGACCACAGTTTCCTGAAGAGATATTAAGGTCACACTCATTTGTTTTTTTCTACATGGCTAAAAATTACTTAACAAAATACACACTTTTCAAAGTGTTTACCTGTTTGATATTCATCACTCCAGTATTTCTTCGGCTAGGCCTTCCATGTTTTTCCTTTATATTAGACAACAGAAACGGTCTTTTTGGTTGTACATATATGATTATCTTTTAAGGTTAGTCTTACTACAGCTTATAGAAATACCAGAGAAAGGTGAACTAAAAATTATGTTCTACATCATTAGTTGCTATTGCTATATGGTTAGCACAAGACCCGGGTTAAGACTGACTGGTCTGATTGCTTCACACACGGTGACCTTTGTGATTCACACTTTGCAATTTAAAATGAAACCTAATAATGGTTCTGCAGCTAATTCAAAGACTAAAGTACCACAATGTTGCGTGTAAACGGCGCCTGTGAAGTAGTGAGAAAAACCGGGAACCTTGTGGTCAGATCATGGAGGCTTAGTTACACCACTCTATGTGGGCCATAAGAGAGACACTATAATCTAACCCACCATGTAGATCCAGATCAGAACTGAACTACACACTTAAAGATGCTTCTTCAAGGGTTCTTTAGTAAAGAAAGTGGTTCTATATAGAACCATGAACACTCACAGAGCGCTTTGCATCATAAAGGTTCTTTGCATCATAAAAATGTTCTTCAGATTGATGGAGAATGTGCTGTAAACCT